AAAGGAAGAGGTTGAATTATCCTTGTTTGTGGACAATATGATCTTATATCTAGAGGAACCTAAGGACTCCACAAAAAAACTATTAGAACTGATAAACAAATTCAGTAAAGTTGTAGGATATAAAATCAACATACAAAAAATCAGTAGCATTTCTATACACCAACAGCAAACAATCTGAAAAAGAAACTAAGAAAGTAATCCCATTTACAATAGCTACAAGTAAAATAAAATACCTGGGAATAAACTTAATCAAAAAAGTGAGAGATCTATACAATGAAAAATATAAAACATTGATGAAAGAAATTGAAGAGGACACAAAAGAAATGGAAAGATATTCCATGCTTACGGATTTGAAGCATTAACATTGTTAAAATGTCTATACTACTCAAAGCAATCCACAGACTCAATACAATCTCCATCAAAATACCAATGACATTCTTCACAGAAATAGAAAAGTAGTCCTAAAATTTATATGGAATCACAAAAGATCCAGAATAGCCAAAACTATCCTGAGCAAAAACAACAAAACTGGAGGAATCACATTACCTGACTTCAAATTATACTGTAGAGCTGTAGTAACCAAAACAGCATGGTACAGGCATGAAAACAGACAGGTAGACCAATGGAACAGAATAGAGAATCTATAAGTAAATCCACACATCTATAGTGAACCTATCTTTGACAAGGGTGCCAAGAACATACACTGGGGAAAGGACAGTCTTATCAATAAATGGTGCTGGGAAAACTGAATATCCATATGCAGAAATATGAAACTAGACCCTTATCTCTCACCATATACAAAAATTAAATCAAAGTGGATTGAAGACTTAACTCTAAGACCTGAAACTATGAAACTACTAAAAGAAAACATTGGGGAAATGCTCCAGGATGTTGGTCTGGGCAATGATTTCTTGAGTAATACCCCCAAAGCATAGGCAACCAAAGCAAAATTGCACAAATGGGATCACATCAAGCTAAAAGCGTTCTGCATAGCAAAGGAAACAATCAACAAAGTGAAGAGACAGCCCAAAGAATGGGAGAAAATATTTTCAAACTGCCCCTCTGACAAGGGATTAATAACCAGAATATATAAGGAGCTCAAACATCTCAATAGAAAAAAAAATCAAATAATCTGATTTTAAAATGGGCAAAAGATATGAATAGACATTTCTCAAAAGAAGACATACAAATGGCCAACAGGTATATGAAAAAAATGCTCAACATCATTAGTCATCAGAGAAATGCAAATCAAAACTACAATGAGATATCATCTCACACCAGCTAAAATGGGTTTTATCCAAAGATAGGCAATAACGAATGCTGGCGAGGATGTGGAGAAAGGGAAACCCTCATACATTGTTGGTGGGAATGTGCAACAACTATGGAGAACAGTATGGAGGTTCCTTAAAATACTAAAAATAGCACTACCATATGACTCAGCAATCCCACTGCTGGGTATATATCCAAAAGAAAGGACATCTGTATATCAAAAAGATATCTGCACTCCCATGTTTATTGCAGCACTATTCACAATAGCCAAGATTTGGAATCAACCTAAGTGTCTATCAACAGATAAATGGATAAAGAAACTGTGGTACATATATACAATGGAATATTATTCAGCCATAAAAAAACCCAAATCCTGTCATTTGCAGCAACATGGATGGAACCGGAGAACATTATATTAAGTGAAATAAGCCAAGCACAGAAAGACAAATCTCACATATCCTTACTCATATGTGGGAGCTAAATATTAACGTAATTGATCTCATGGAGTTAGAGAGTAGAATGACGGTTAGCAGAGGATGGGATGGGAAGCGGGGAGCAGGGTGGATAAAATGGGGCTACTTAATGGGTGCAAAAATATATTTAGTTAGATAGAATGAACAATATTTGATAGCACAACAAAGTGACTCTAATCAACAATAAGTTAGGGTATACTTTAAAATAACTAAAAGAGTGGAATTGGAATGTTCCTAACACAAAGAAATGATAAATGCTTGAGGTGATGGATACGCCAATTACCCTGATTTGATTATTACACGTTGTATGCCTGTATCAAAACATCACATGTACCCTATAAATATATACACCTATTATGTACCCATAATAATTAAAAATGAAAAATTTTGAAAAATCATTTACCTCTATGGAAAACTATTCAGCAGTAGTCGATAGAGCTGAACACATGTATGCTCTCTGACTCAGCAATTTCACTTCTAAATACAGATACCTAGCAGAGATGCATGCACATGTTCACCAAAAAACTATGCGCTGGAAGGATCATGGTGGCAACTACCCAGATGTCTATCGGCTGCGGAATGGATAGGTAAGTTGTGCTACAGTCATATGGTGGCACACTATACAGCAATACAATTGAACAAACTATAACTACACACAAGGTATTAGTGTTCTATTGCTGTAAGCATATTACCACAAATTTAGGTGCTTAAAGCAACACACACTTCTGAGTTCACAGTTGTGTAGGTCTTAAACCTGGGCTTGGCATAGCTAGCTGGGTTCTCTGCTGAGGGTCCCAACAGCTGAAATCAAGGTGTGGGAAGCCAGAGCTCAGAATCTTCCTTGAATTTCATTCGGGTCGTTGGCTGATGGAAGGTCTTTTTGTGATTGGAGGACCAAGGTGCCCCATTTCTTTGCTAGCTGCCAGCCAGGAGCCACTTCCAGCTCCTAGAGGCCTCTGCATTCTTTGCCTTGTGGCCCCTTCTATCTTCAAAGCCAACAACAAAGAATTCCCCTCATATCCATCCCTGCTATGATTCACATCTTTCACCAGGAAGAGCCCCGTCCCTTGTAAGGGCTCAGTGGATAATGCCCACTGAGGACAATTTCTTTATCTTAAAGCCAGCTGATTTAGGACGAATTCATCTGCAAATTCCCTTCAAAGCAGCACCTAGATCTACATTGAGTTGAATACCTGGGAGAATGTGTGTGTGAGACTGGGTAAGGAATCTCGGGGGTCATCTTGTAATCCTGCCCACCACACACAACAACATGGATGGATCTCACAACACATTGAGCAAAAGAAGCCAGACACAACAAATATATAATTCCATTTATATAAAACACGTGAACAGGAAGTGCTTACTCTCGAGTGCATAGTAACTGGACAGGAGCATGAGGGGGCTCCTGGGGGGCCGACAGTGTTTTTGTTTCTTGATCTGTGTGCTGGTTGCGTGAGCGTGTTCAGCTTGTGAAAACTCAGTGAGCCAAACATTTATGATTCATGTACTTTTCTGTAAATGTGTTATACTGCCATTAAAAGTTCTTAGCATAATTTGGATTTATTACTTGAAAATAGATTTGTTTTTCCAAGGCAGCATGCATCCAAAGGCAACTATCAGAGTGAGTCCCTGATGGGGGGGAGAATACGTAGGAATAGACAGGAAGTGAGAGTGCCTTGCTTGGAGTGAAGATGATAGTACCTCACAAACTCTACACTTGAGCGCCAACTAGGTGAAAAATCAGTGCCATCAACTTGGAACTTGTGTGTAGGACCCGCTACGTAATTTATGGGCCCCAGGGCAAGGTGAAAGGCAGGCCCCTTGTTCAAAACTTTGAAGACAGCAAGAGTGAAGCATGTAAGCCAAAAATGATGGTGGCGGTGGGGACAAATGAACAGGTCTCACTCCCATGAAGCCAGCCTGCCTGTACGTATGAGAGAAAGAGCCACATCTCAGAATCCAAAGACTTCTTGCTAGGTGAGTTACCTTGGGCAAGTAGAGCTTTGGTCCTTTCAACTGGAAAATGGGTTGGCTAGAGGCTAGGAGGTGAAAATTCATTAATACATGAGAGTGAAGCACTTTTTGATGTGTAAGGCCAAACAATCGCAGAGATTATTACAATGGTGGGCCCTCTAAATTTTTGAGTTTTTAATCGGTTAAGAAGCCTACCTGTGATCTTGCAGCTAAACACACAAACTCTTGGTAGACAGTACAGTCCACGTCTGCGTTCTGAATGAACACAAATCCCAGATTATTGGTGGGACCCTAATCATGAGATTTTACTGGGCACGGCTTGATCTTTCCAGTCCAAAGAGGAAGTTACTAAATGCCAACATGGAGTATATTGGAGTCTAGGCACATCCCCATCAAAGTTCTTTTTCTTGCTGAGGTGAGATTTGAATTTCAGTCAAGTTCCAAGTTGAATCCCTGACCTGACTCTAGAACCTCCCGGAGTGTCTGCAGGGTCCTGGGAAGGGGCGCCCTGGAATCATCCAGCCGGGACTCAGTGGTGAACGCTGTGGCACGTGAATCCCAGGCGCCCGGAGACTCTGCGGTGCCAGGATGACAGGGCTGCCGCCTGGCATGCGGGCTGGGGCTGGGGAGTGGGGATGACATTTCAGGGCAAATATTTCTGAAGAGGCACGACATTCACATTGCATTTCTGTGATTATTTTCCCTGGCGTGCACTCTGAAGCACAAATCTTTCCTGATGTAGTGACTTACTAAAGCTTTTGGGGACCGTGGTACTCGAAGGCTGCCGGCTGCCTGACCTAAGATTTACGAGTGGTTCCAAGGATGAGACAAAGTCCCAGTGTCTCGGTGACAACAGGGTCTTTGACGAAGGGCCACAAACTGCCTCTGGGGAGGGGGAAAAGGCCTGTGGCGGGGACGGACAGCCCCTGAATTTCATCCCTGCAGGAGTTGGGCGCCCGGGCGCAGGCAGGCAGCCCCGCAGGCCATCAGCATGCAGGCGCTGCGCGCGCTGTCCTTGAAGGGCTGCCCGGCTGACCTTGCTCCGCTTTCTCCGGAGAAATCTCTGGGAGAGCGCGAGGACGAGGCCACCGCGGTGACTCAGTGCCCTGCGCGCCGCATGCAAATGCTCCCCTCCAGCAAGCCCAGCTCCGCAGCTGAGGCTTCCCCTTCCTGCCCTCTTTTTAATTCCACGATTCAAACCCGGCGTTTTCCGCTCCACCCCACCCCCTCTCCACGGCCCGCCTGTCATTAGTCAGACTGTACGGGTGTTTTGTCGCCCCCCACCCCCATCCGCAGAACTGAAGGCCAACCTTCGTGATCCCTCCCTGCGGGCCCGGGCATCAGACGTGGCCCGCCCCCGGCAGGGCACCGCGCGCCGGGCGACCGCGATCCGGAGCGGGCCCGGAGGGGGCGGTGCGCGGCGCGCCGGGGCGCACCGGCGGACGGAGCCAGGGCCCCGCTCCCCATTGGCCGCCACCTCGGGTGGGGCGGCCTCCGGCTCGTGGAACCTGGCGTCGCCCCTCCGCGGGGAAATCGGCGGCTGCCCGGCATGGGCGCCGGGCGGTAAAGGCATCCGGAGGGAAGGCCCGGGGCCGCGGCAGAGCTCCGTGCGGTCGGCCCGGTCCTGCTCGCCGCCTCCTCGCCTGCGACGCTCGGATGCCCCCAACTCCTGCCGCTCCGGCCGCGCCAGCAGGAAACTTTGCCCCGCAAAGTCCCCCGCCTGCCTGACCGCGCTGTACGGCGCCTCGTCGGCCGCGTGCCCTCCGGGGCCCCGGAACCCGGCGCGTGATTGCCCCGCCGCCCCGTACCCTGCGCCCGCGGCGCCCCGCCGCCAGGATGCGCTACGCGGACCCCTCGGCCAATCGCGATTTGTTGGGGAACCGAACTTTGCTCTTCATCTTCATCTGCGCCTTCGCCTTGGTGACCTTGCTGCAACAGATCCTCTATGGCAGGAACTACATCAAGAGGTAAGAAAGTCCGAGAGAGGGTGGGATGCGCGGCGAGCGATCCCCCAGGTGGCGGTCGCAGCGTCGGCCGCAGCGTCTCCAGGGCGAGTGACAGTGGGGTCTGCACTCATCCGCGAGCACTGCCGCGTTAGGCGTGGGTCGTGGCGCTTCGAAGCGCACCTCTGCTCCCAGCCGGAGGAGAGCGCCCGCCCAGCGCCCGCTGCAAGGCCCCGACAACTTTGTTCTGCTGTGAAAAATGGGGGGGGGGGCAGGTTGGAATTCCAAGCAGCTGGGCTGACAATAAATCCATTTGAATGCCCAGAGAGGCCGCATGGATCTCTGTGCCCCAACCTGCAGTCCTATGGCCATTTGGTTGGCCTCCGGGGACGTGGGGGGATCAAAATCGGATAGATTTTTTTTTTTTTACTCGTGAGTCCGAACTTTTGTAGGGACGCTTCGGAGGAAAAGCGTTTTCCCCGCAGGAGCGTTGGGTTAGGTGGAGGTGGTAGCGGACTCTGGCCGTGCGATAGGGACAGTGAATTCTTACAATCCCATAGCCACTGGGTCTGTAAAACTCACAACCTGATTCCTTGTGAAACAGATGTGTGTGTGTGTGTGTGTGTGTGTGTGTGTGTGTGTGTGTGTGTGTTTTCTCATCCTTAGCGCAAAAGGTCAGAGCTGCAGCAAAAGTTAACCCCTACCCTACCCCCAGCCGGGGCAAACTCCTCTAAGAGAAAGAGCAGTAGGAGGTGTCACTCAGAAATTCAATTTGGGCACAGACTCAGTCTCTCTGTTTGTGGAAGAAACACCGAAATGCCAACCGCTTCCTTCTGCAGGCTCTGCTGGCTTCGGGAAAACGCTTCAGGTCACCGTGCCTGGTTTGAGAGACGGGGGCAGATCTGCTCCCCACTACTCCCGTATCAGAGCCTCTCTTGGAAAGGGCCCCGGCTCCTTTCTGCTGGAGCCTTTTTCCTTTGCTGCCAGTGTCTCCCTGCACTCACGGCACCCTCTCCCACTCCCCTGGGACTGATAGGAAAAGAAATGCCTCTCTAGCTGTGTAAGCATGCCATCTTCTCTCAACTTGCAAATACTGACACAGTTGTTCTCTTCTCATCCTTTGGTTTCTACATCAGTCGTGTGTGCTCCCAATCTGGGCTGCTCACGCGGGTGGGAGGGTGAGGACTGCTGCTTGGTGACTGGCTCTAGGAGGAAAGCCAAGCAGTTAGGCTATGGACCTCCCCCAGAGCTGAGTAGGATGAGGTACCCTGTCGCAAATATTCGTTTCCAGCCAGTCACTGCTCCGGACCTTCCCAGAGAGCGTGCTTCCCTGGTTGGCGGCAGCTCATGAGCTCTGTATGGCTCTGGTGTCCCCTGCATCCTCTTTTGTTTACTGTAACCCTTAAGATGAACCTGTGCAAGGACAGCTGGGTCCCCAAACGGCCTGTGACAGCCCTGCAGACCCATTGCCGGCTGCTGTCTTGGCACTTGCTCTTCAGCAGGGTGGCTCTGGGTTCCTGTCCCCTGCTGTCACCTCTCCAGAGTTGCTGGGACTGCTGGGATTCCTTCTTCCTTGTCAACAGGGGGAGAGTAGCAGTGCCCATGGCAAGTGCCAACTGAACTACTACCTGCTCGCCACCTGGCAAGCCTTCCCTGGTCTTGGGTGGATGGGCTAGCTGCCCAGAGTTCAGCAGGCATACAAGGTGCTTCCCATCCTCCCTCACACAGAGACCTGACCCCCTAAATCTCAGAGATGCCGCCTTGCAGGCCTCACTCCAGGCACTGGGGTTAATCCAGTCAAGCAAGCAAAATGTGTGTGCCCAATCCTGAGAGGATGCCTTGGGGTCTGTAAAGGAGAGGGGGTGGTCCTGGTGCTCAGGGGCTTGAAGTCTATTTGGGGAAACAAAATGGCCATGAATGAGCTAGGAAGTCAGTGTTAAACTGTCCGAGAAGAGAGGCACTAATGGGCAGAAGGAGTTAGAGAAGACTGCCCAGAGGAAGTTGAACTTGAGAGGGCCTTGAAGGAAGGGTAGGATTTGGAGAGGGAAGGGGACATGCATATCTAGAACAAGGGCAGGAACTCAGGGGCGGAGATACAGGTGGCACTGTCTCCTCTCACCTGTCCTACCACTGACCCTGCCTGTGCTGTAGCGCTTGGCTTAATCATTGGTCAGTTCACCAGGGTGGCGGCCCTGATCCCTAACAAGGTTGTGGCTGCCACATCAATTGCACCCCTAGCACCTGCTTACCTGTCTTGTTTCCTACACCTATTGTAATTGTAATACACTGACTCGATGTGATTCTGTCTCCTGTCTAGAAACACGTGACCAGTGTTCCTGGAGTAGAAGTCCTGGGAGGGCCTGCATCAGAATCACCTGGAGGGCATGGACACCAGCCTTTCTGGGGGTGGCTGATAGCACCCTGCCTTTGAAACAAGCTCCCAGGTGATCTGTAACAAGCTCCTCCTGACGCTCTGGAACAGTGATTCTCAATCACCCTCCACCCCCTAGGCAATCTGCAGAGCCATTTTTGGTTGTCAGGCTGGGGAGAGGAGAGTGCTACTGGCATCCAGTGAAAAGAGGCCAGAGATGCTATAAAGATCCTGCAGTGCATAGTTTGCCCCCACAACAAAGAATTGTTCAGTCCCAAGTGTCAGTAGTGCCGAGGTTGAGAAACTCTGCTGTAGACCGGAAGCTCCATGAGGCAGGGATTCGCTCTGTTTTGTCCCTAGCTGCACCCTGAGCACCAGATAAGGTGCTGGCACATAATAGGTTCTCAGTAAGTAGTGGCTATTGAATAAATGATTGATGGGGGTACGTCTATGTATGCAGGGGTTGTAACTGGAAGAGACACAGCGAAGAACTGGATCCAATTGGTGGAAGAGCGAACGGAGGGAAGAAGGGGTAGATTTAAGGGTGGGTCACTAGCCTTGGTGAAGTGCTTTGAAGATTGAGGACAATTTGAATTTGGTTCACTGGGCCATAGGGAGCCACATTTGGTCCTTGAGCAGGGTAATGACATGATAGGCCACTAGGAAGGAAGGTTGTCTGGGCCTTGCACAGGAAGGGTTAAAGAGGAGAAGAGGCTGGGAGGTATTGTCACAGCCCGGTCAAAAGCAAGCAGAACTTGGCACAGGGAACAGATCTACTTTAGTGCCAGGGGATGCCCGAAGGCTGCTGTTCTCTGCTTCTGTGCTGAACTGGCACAGTGCCATCTCCCTAAGAGCTCAGGGACACAAAAATGGCAGGCTCTGGCTCTTCCAGTGAGAATTTAGGGTCAGACTACACTAAGTGGAAGTGGGGGATGTGAGTCATTGTGCACTTATTTCTTTGGACCCTTAGCCTCTCCCTGTGCTGCGCAGTGGGTGCTTTGGAAAGGTCCACTGGGAGCAGTAAGAGCTCTGGAGTTCCCTCTGGCAAACACCTTTGCTGGGCAGGAGCGGGGAAGGCAGGGCAGTGCGATGGCTGGGGGGCTCGGATCTCTGTTGGAGAAGGTGCACGCTATGGGTGAGGAGGGACAGACAGGAAACAAAGCTGCACGGTTTGCCCTGGATCTCCTTGGCTTCCCTGTGTCTGTTTTTGATTGAACAGATAATTAACAAAGATTTACTAGATGCTGAGCACCACCCTAGGTGCAGAGGACACAGTGGTAGTGTAAGACAGGCACAGTTCAAGGCCCCTGGGGAAAACGGAAAGGCGCCCAGCTCATACGTAAGCCACGCCTGGAGGAATGGATGAGGGTCTCTAGGATGGGGAGGAGGGATCTGTGGCCAATCGGTGTGCTTCCAGGCACATGGAGGCATTTGAGGGGGTCTTCAAGAAAGGGGTCTGACCCACAGGCACAGGCAGAGGTGGAAGGAGGGAGGATGAAACCCAGTTGAGCAAGCATCGAAAGGTGCTGGGAAGAGTTGAGTGATTCTGCATTTCTCAGATGTCAGGGGGCGGCAGGCAGGGACAGATTCTGGAGAACAAAGTAGGACACGTGTGAGAGGAGCATGTCTAGGGGAGAGAGGGCAACAAGTTACGGTCTGGATCTGCTCAGATCCTGGGAGGCGATCTCATGGAGCTATTCAGAACTGCAGTAGAGAAGAGCCACTCGAGCATTGTAGACTTTGGAGTCACCAACCATTGAGATCAGTGTTTTGCAAACGTTTGTGGTTGTAATGTGCAGTTAGAAATACATTATACCTGGGGATTTCGAACACACTCACATATACCCCCAGCTGAAACATTTTGTGAAATGATGCTTGGCCTTATTATGAGAAACGTGCTCTATATTTTCTATTCTATTTCATTAAAAAAAAACTGTTCTACTTCATTTAAAAAAATACATGAACTATTAGCCTTTAAAAGGAAGGAAATTTGGAAACATGTTATAACATGGATGAACCTTGAGGACCTTGTGTGAAATGAAATCAGCCAGGCACGAAAGGACAAATACTGTATGATGCTGCTTCTACGAGGGACCCAGAATAGTCAAGTTCATAAAGATAGAAAGTAGAATGGTGGTTACCAGGGGCTGGGTGTGGGGATTGGCAGTTATCACTTAGTGGGTACAGAGTTTCAGTTTGGGAAAATGATGGTTCTGGTGATGGATGGTGGCGATGGTAGCACAGCAATGTGAATGTACCTAATGCCACTGAACTGTACACTTAAAACTGGTTAAAATGGTAAATTTTATGTGATGTGTATTTTGCCACAATAAAAAAAGCTTTTATAAAATCTGGGAGCAACCAACTCAATTTGATTTTACAACCCATTGGGTTGAAACCCTTAGTTAGAAAAACACTGCTCTATGTGATGGGGTTGGATGAACTCCCCAGGGAGACAGCAGAGTGGAAAATGACAATGGGTCAGGGCACAAAGGAGAGCCTTGAAGGATGATGTCTGCACCTAAGGGGTTGAGAGTGGGGAGCTGGCTCTGGAAACAGGCTGGAGAGAAGTGGAGCGGAGTTGAGGAGACAGAGGTGTGAAATGAAACCAAGGGAGAGAGGGGTGGGCTGTGTCATACCCTGCAGAGGGCTC